CACAACATGGAGGCCTTAGTGTAGTTAGACTTCTTGTGTGGAGGCTCTAGCCTCCAAATGTGAGCATCCTAGCAAGCAGGGCAGATGCTGCACATCACCACTGTGATCTAGTCTGGGAAGTCACAAAGCATCACTGCTGCCGTATTCTACTGATAGAAGCAATGCTTAGATTCAAGGCTGCTTGAATTAAAAGAGAAGAGATATAGATTCCATCTTTCAATGGGAGAAGAGCCACAGAATTTTATAGCTGCTTAAAAAAACCCAAAAACCACAGGGTATAAAATTCCAAGGAAAGTATAGGGAAGTGTACTGGAATAATGCCTTGCTGTAATTAATGACATCTTTGTTTTAGCCAGGACACTCTGCCTTGCCAGCCATAAAACGCTCATGTCCAAACAATGCTGAACTGGATTTGGTTGTGAACAAGCTTTTTTTTTTTTTTTTTTTTTTTTTTTTTTTTTTTTTTTTTTAAGCTCCTTTAGCAGCAACAGCATCTGTAGTAGCATCAAAACTTCCAAGAACAATGTTAAAAATTCTGTAAACTGCTCAGTTGCTCAAGGGTCATGAAGCCCCAGTTTTACCTGTCAAGGTGGAAAAAGAGAACGACACATGTCTCCAGTTAATTAAAGATCAGCTTTTCAACCTTTCTTTTAAAGTTAAGTGCTTTTAGTTGAATTAAATTTAGGTCATGGAGAAAGCCTCAGTTTAATTTTCTTTTTAAAAATAAGTTTCCATAAGTATATATAATTCATTTTCTTCACTCACCCAGCTTAAATCATTTTGGGTCTATGTTTTGGTGCTTAACTGTGCAAGGCATTAATGATCCTGGTGAAATGAGAGGAAATGACTATGTTTATATGGGCCCCATGCCTGTTAGATTCTATTTTCTGGAATAGGGGAGTTATTTATTTATTAAGAACTATTGACCCAGATAAATTACCTGAGATTCATTATTGTACTGCCAGGTGGTGCCCCAGACTTGGGGCTTAGAATAACCAAGGCTTTATATACATCATCCTGTTCACCACTTTTTTTTTTTTTTTTTTTTTTTTTGAGACGAAGTCTCACTCTGTTACCCAGGCTGGAGTGTGCAGTGGTGCAGTCTTGGCTCACTGCAGCCTCCGTCTCCTGGGTTCAAGTGATTCTCCTGCCTCAGCCTCCCAAGTAGCTGGGATTGTAGGCACACGCCACCACACTGGCTAATATTTGTATTTTTAGAAGAGGTCACTGCAACTGGCCCTGTTTACCATTTCTTGAACAAAGTCTTTAGAGGAATATGCCACAACACTAACTCCGGAATAAGTAATGCAAATTCAGAGATTTGTATCTTTAGTTTGGTGGCAATTGGTTATTTAAATGGTCCTTATTCAGAGGTGATGATAGATAATTTTTTAAAAATCAAATCCTCAAACCTATCTTTTCTGATTTGAAACTATTTTTTGTTGCTTACTTACCCTGCATGCCTTTCCCAAAGTCATGATGTGTGGGAGAAAGATGAAATTTGCAATTAAGCAGACATGAATTCATATTCTGCACAATTATGCAAATATGGATAAGTTGCTCAAACTTTCTGAGCCAGTAATCTGATTATGATAAAATAGAGAAAATAGCACATTGTCTTAGTCAATTTTTTGTTGCTTGTAACAGAACATCTGAAACTAGGTAATTTATAAAGGAAACAAATTTATTTCTTAAAATTATGGAGGCCTAGAGGCCCAAGGTTGAGGGTCTAAATCTGGTGAGGTCCTTCTTGTTGGTGTGGACTCTATAGAGGTGGCATAGGGTATCACATCATCTATTAGCTCAGGTCTCTGTTCTTCTTTTTCTAAAACTACCAGTTCCATTCCCATGATAACCCTTTAATCCACTAACACATTAATATATTAATCTATGCACAGATTAATCTATTCATGAGAGCAGAGCTGTCATGAACCAGTCACCCACCAAATGCCTCACCTCTCAATACTGCCACATTGAGGATGAAGCTTCAACATGAGTTTTGGTCAGGATACATATCCAAACCACAGCACACCTGTTGTTGCAAAGATTAAAGAAGGTGTGGAATGTATATCCCTTTACAGCCTGGCACTGAGAGAATGAGGACTCATTAACTGTTAGGTTGCTTTACCCCATCTTTTGCATCTGCAGTATCCCAGCAGAAGCAGACAGCACAGTAGTACTCCACACAAATGGCGTGGACTTAAAAGCTCTTGTGGTCTGAGTATTTCTAAGGCTGAACTTAGTCACTTTTATCCCCTCTAAGCCAGGTCATGTTTTCCTGTTCCCCGAATGAATCAAATCAAATGTGTGACTGACACACTTGTTTTCAGAGATATAGAAAGTAGGATAAGAAGAAGACTTTTTTACATTTGTTGCACATTGACTATGTACAACATACTGTTTGAAATACTTTTAAAATTTATTTCTTGTAATGATCTTATGAAGTAGGCATAATGCTGCTCAATCAATTGTTCCAGAACATAATAAATTAATGGAATAGCCACTTATTGTATCTCATAAGTCGCTCAGCTGGGTAGTTCTGATGTGAGCCAGGCTTGGCTGATCTTGGTTGAGCTTACTTGGGCTTGCTCATGTGTCTGTGGTTAGCCAGCCTGTAGGTCAGTTGGTACTGACCAGCCTAGTGTGAGCTTGGCTGGCTGAAACAGCTCAGTTCTACCCCATGCAGTCTTCTACCCTCCCACAAATTAGTCTAGGCTTGTTCTCATGTCAGTAGCAGGGATTTAAGGAAGGAAGGGGCAACATGCATGCCACTGTCTCACAGACCAAAGCAATCATATGGCCTCGTTGAGATTTGGGGTCGGAGGGCACATCCAAAGGAAATAGATTCAGAGAGACATGGACACATGGCCATTAGGGCACTTGATCTACCACAATAGGCATTGTTATTACCCTCATTGGTAGAGGAGAAGATGGAGGCTAGCAATTTTGTGCCTGTTGGTCACTGGCCCAACCCATAGTGTTTTTATCTGCTGTGTTCTTTCCTGGCAATCTGCTCCTTGGAGATACTTTCTAATAAGCTACATTTCACCCTCTTTCTCATTATTTGTTCTGAATTTGGAATTTCATATAAAATTATTAGGACCAACCAAGTGATCTTAACAAAGCCCAGTATAACGATATCAAGGAACTGTGCAGGTACATCAATAAGATAGGTCTAGAGAAAATGAAGGGAGGAGTGCAGATATATGGTTGGGTGGGAATACATGGAAAAAAAATGAGACAAATTTACATTTCGATTTCCTGGCTTTTTATTTTGCCTGGGTCAGCTTCCACCTTTCCATGCCATCTTTTCTAGATTATGATGCCAACATCTGAGAAATGCAAGTTCCTGGTGTTGGCCTGGGGCGTTTACTAGATTTTTGACCTTGAACAAGGAAGTTACCTAACTTTCCTGAGCCTCTATTTCATCATGTGTGAAATGAGAATACTAGCACACAGGTTGATGTGTGGGCTAAAGGAGACCTGAAGGTAAAGAGCTCCACCTGGGTCTGAGCCCCATGCAGCCACCATGATTCACTGCTGTCCCCAAGCACAGCCTGGTGCCTGAAATGCCGGAGAGTTGGCTTTCCCCACTGCAGAGGCTGTAGGTGAGCTGCCAAGGCAGTGCAGGGAGGCTGAGCAGCAGGAGTGCTGTTAATGGATTTTATGGCTTTGTTGAGTACCTCAAACTACAGTTATTAATTAGAGGATGCTGTTTAGGTTCTCTCGCAATATATACATTTTGTTAATTGATTTGTATAGGCTCATAGCTAGCAACATAAAGAATGTGCAGGATCATAACGCTTACAAGGGATTGTGATTGCCTCTGCTGCCCTCTCTGGCTCCCCAAGCAGGGAACAAAAGCTTTTGAGGATAGGATCCACTCTCTCCTCCGTCTTTGGATCTCCAATGTCTAATCCAGTGCTCACTGGCAGGATGATATAGCCTGTCTAGATGCTCAGCAAACGTCTTGAATTGATGAATAAATAAATAACGTTCTTCTATATTTCCATATCGACTTTATTTTCAAACGATTGCTTCTAAACCCTGCTTTGTGTGTGACATTGGCATTGCATTTAGGTAAATATGGTCAAGGATTTATTCTGAGTCCTTACTGTTTTTTTGAGTACCTTTGTAATCCCTTCACGGCCTAGAGATGGTGAGGATGCAAAGATACACCCTGGCCCCTGCACTCAGGGAACTGACAATACTTCATGGCACGAGATTTTATAAGGCATGACGTCAAGCAGCCAGTTCTTGGAGATGCCAAGTGACAACATAAAGGTGGCAACTTCTTGCATGGCACCATCCTGCAGGGAATTTTAAGTTTGTCCTTCTCCCCCACCACTGTAGCCTCAGCAGGTCCAGCACCCCAAGTTTTCTGATCTAGCTTTTCTGTCAGCTTCTAAGGGCCGGGTCTTCTCGCAGACGACGCGGAGCCCGGCCATTGCCATCCAGGTCCAAGACTATCTGCTCTGCCCGACAACCCCTAGCACCACGAGGCGTTGCTCTAGTGTGCGCCTGGCGCCCTCCCCAGACCAGTCGACATAGAGCGCCCAGAGACCCAGCCAAGGGCAAGACCCTGAGCAACGCCAGCCCGTCCCTTCCGCCCAGAGGTCAGCTCTAAGGGCATGGCCGGGCAGGGTCCCCCGCACCACCCCAGACGACCCTCAGGCCTCAGGTGGCCACTTTCTGGGGGAGCCCTCCATCCCCTGCAGCAGCTTTTCAGAGAGCCGGAGTGGAGGAGCGGGGCTGCAGGGCTCCTCGGAGCCGCCCACCAGGGTCCTCTGGGGCCCGGGTCCTGACTGGGGCAGGAGGACCTGGACAGCGCCCCGGAGCGTGGAGACGGCTGAGGAAAGTTGGGGGCCGGGGCCGTGGGCGGGGAGCGCGGAACCCCGCGCCGGTGCCCGCGTTCATGAATATGCACGAGCCCCCTCCCTCCCTCCGTGACGTCACGGGCCGTCCCGGGGTGAGCGCCGGAGCGGCTCCGGGTCCGCGCCAGTGAGCGCGGCGGCTGCCGGCGAGCTAGCGGCGCGGCGGCGGGAACCGGAGGCCGGGCGCGGCGGCGGCGCTAGAAGCGCACCCACCGGGGACGGCTAGGCGGCCCGCGGCGCGGCAGGCACCGGGAGGCGAGAGCCGGCGCGGTCGGTAGGCGGCGGCTGCAGCTAGTTGGCGGCGGCTGCGAGGATGCTGCCTGGGCGGCTGTGCTGGGTGCCGCTCCTGCTGGCGCTGGGCGTGGGGAGCGGCAGCGGCGGTGGCGGGGACAGCCGGCGGCGCCGCCTCCTCGCGGCTAAAGGTGGGTGCTGGGGAAGTTTGCTCTTCTCCCAGGAGGCAGGCAGGGCAGGCTCGAGGGTGAAAGCGGCAAGGACCGGGCTCATGCTGGATTTGGCCACCCTGCCTTGCCGCAGCTCTTCTGGCCTCTGTGCGCCCTGGATCCCCGGAGTCAGCTCCTTGCGCCGCGGACCCGAGAGGTTCCACCCGCCGACGCCGGCCCAACCCCTGGGCGGGGTTCGGGGGCCGAGCAGAAGGCGAGATCTGGGGAGTACCGACAACTTTGAGGGCTCTCTGTGCCTGGGTGGGAGCGCAGTGGGTGAGTTTCGAGCTCTAGCCCAGGGACGACTCGCGCCGCGGGGTCAAGCAGGTGTCTGCTCCTGCCTGGGGGAAGGATCAGCCGCGGTGCTTTCAAGGAGGGAGCCGAGCGGTGACTTGTCTCCCAACTCCCAGATCGGGGATGGAGTGGAAACTTCTAGGCTCCAGGGAAGGCCCCGCTGACACTCCGAAGGCTTGGCCAGGGCTGCTCTGGCTCCCCGGGAACGCGTGCCCTCCGGGTGGGCGGCGCAGTCCGGGATGTGAGACTCCCCGCCGCCTCTCCTACTTGGCTGTGGCTTCTGAGGACGGAGGAGCCTAACCTGGCGCCACTCCCCCGCCCACCTTGTTCCTTTGAAGAGCTTGACCTCCCCGCACCTTTCGCCCGGAAGGAAGCTAGATCCAAGGGAACGCCTGGCTCGGTGAGGCGAGCTTGGAAGCCGGTGAACCCCGGACTTTGACAGCTGCCTGGGAGCGCCGGGAGCTCTGGGGTCGGGGGCCGTATCTGAAACAGGAGATCACGTGCTTGCAGGGGGTAGGGAGGGGAGGGAAGAGCAGAGCTGGTGGGGGGCAGTGGTGGGCTCAGGGGAGGCTGTGGCAGATCCTAGCTGGGGCGCAGAGCTTAGTGATAACTTGTTGATTCTGTGCGCTGTTCTTAAGGAGGGCGTGCGTTTTGGTTTGTGGGCTCTGGCCAAATCCTCTAGGTGACAGTGAGGGGGTACTTGATCCCCAAATCCTGCCTGGTCATCATCAGAGGGTGGAGGGGTTTGCGTCTGTCAAAAAATAGATCCCCTGTTACACAACCTGATTCCGACGCTGGCTTTGAACTACAGTTAGGCACCAGCTTAGGGGAGGGAATGCCTATCAGGCTACATTACTCTTGGAGAGTGGGGAGAACTAGAGGCAGGCAGTTTGCCTTGTCTGGACCTTGGTAACTGACCCTCCAGTAACTTAGGAGAAGAACATGGGTGATTATGTTTATCTCTAATTTTTACATTTTTGGGGGTATAATCGTTTTGGAAAGATTTTATAAGCCGGCATTTTCTTTTCAGCAAATTTTTTTTTCTTGGTGTATCCTTGACAGGCAGTTTCTATTTTTAGAAAGACAAAGAGAAACTCATTATGAAAATATCTCAAACAGTGCGGTAAAGAAGTCGATGATATGAAGGGATCAAGCTGAGAGACTGTTGTTTTGGTGAAGATAAGAATAAAAACCAATGAACTTCCAGACATTTTCTCCTCCTTTCCCAATATAGACACTTTGTTAAACAGGCAAACTACATTTTGGGGGAGGGGAAGAGGTGGCGGGGGGGCGGTGGTGGAGATTTCCCATCACTTTGCAGCACAGTAAATGATGTACTTACAAGCAGATGTCTGCCGACAGGGATTTGAGGGAGGGTGAGGATCCCGCAGCGAGTGCAGAACAGGGAAGGAATCATTTGGGGAGAGGATCTGGTGTGAGTAGTAATGCACAACTGATTCTCAGGTCAGAATGGGAAGCTTCGTAGAGCTAAGAGAGAGAGAAATTAAAAAAAAAAAAAAACAGCTTTCAGTGATTCACTTCATGTGGATAATTATGTGCATTTTAACCAACATCCAACTTAGAACATATTTATTTCATGGTTAAAACTAGACATTTGTCTTTCCAGCGTAAAAAGTTTATTGGCCCTGCAGATAGAGAATTACTGTCCGAATTCTGCTTGTTCTCGCTTTTTTTCCCCCTTCCAACCACTGGGGGGCTGCAAAGAGCTCTATTGACTGCTTTTTTTCTTTTTTTTTAGCCAAATATGTAATATTTGATTACAACAGAGACATTTATTATGACACCTTAGTATTTACAGGACTGACTCTCCTTATTACAACACACTTGCATTTTGTGTTTCCAAATCTCATAATCTCTGAAGAATATTCGAAATAATAAAGCTGTATGTATTATGTATAATGCACCCTGCCTCTGACTTTGCCATTTTTAAGATTGATACCATTGTTATTCCCATCACTAAAATAAATAAATAAATAAAAAATAAGGAATGCATGTAAAGATTGAACAAAAATGTAGATTCTTCTTTCATACAATTCTGTATTCATGTGTAGAAAAACATTGGGAGTCTGGAGTCAAGCTTTCTGACAGACTTGAATGCATCCTCCAAATAACTGTCTGGAAGCACGTGCTCACAGCTTCCGGCTTGTGTAAGAAGATGTTGTGTAAGAAGATGTTGTGTCTGTGGTGCACAGCTTATTCTGCCTTTCCGTTTCTTGTTTCTTGCCTTAGGGACTAGAGCAATTAACCCCTGACAACTACCTGGGGTTTTCACAGAATCACTGTACTTTCAGTTTAAACTTATTTCCCATTTCAGAAATAATATAGTGGTCAGGCAATTATATAACTCCTTCCCTTCACCCTTACATATTTTGGCTATTCACAAAAGATAAATACTTGTTGGATTCCTTAAAGAGACCAGATCACATGCACATGTTCTGCGAGTAAAACTGGTAAGATATTGTGGACCCAAAGAGTTTCTCAAGGCAGAGAAAGACATGTCTTATCCAAGGGAAAGGAGACAGTGCAATCTAGATAACACCTCAAAATTTGTGCCAAATTTGGCAAGACGTCAGTGGTCCCAAGACCTCGAGGACTTGGTACACAGTCCTTTCTAAGTTCCTAGCATCTAGGCATAGAGGTCATTTGAAACAATACTCAGCTACAGACCATCAATGATTGTAGTGCCTGCCTGTGTGCTGAGAGCCTGGCTCAGCGCTCTGGAGGTTTCTGAGCGGGTAGCAGAAGGCCGCCCCCGACCCCTACCTTTCTTTGAGGATCTTCTGTTTTAGTTGGAGAGACAAGATTTTTATGTGAAAGTTTAGAGTGACAGCGGAGCGAATTTGTCCAAAGTATAGTACTGACTGTGATAGAGACACAGGGAAAGGGGATGGGAATGCACAGACAAGATTTACAGAAGCAGCATGTGGTAATAGGTGAGGCTGATGGAGCAGGATTATAACCAGTGTGAGGTAATTGTAGTAATTGCAGTGTATAGAGTCCTTCTTTAGTGTGTAGCAGGCACTGTTGCTAATCCCATTACATGGGCAATCTCTAACTCTTATGACACATGCAGAGCCAGTGTTAGCCCATTTCACAGATAAAGAAACAGATGCTATGAGAGGATAAATGACTTGCCAAGACCTCCAGCTAGAGGATGTGTCACTAAGAAAAGGATAAAAAAAGATCACTATGCCCAGTGCCCTCTATCTGTCAGATAGTCTTCCCACTGGTTTTGAAAGCAGGTCTAGGGACCACAAGGAAGCTAAGCTGTTTGTATCTCTGAGTTACCCAGGAGTTCTTGTGGTCCTGCCCACGGAAGAGTGCAGTATGAGTGTTAAAAGGGCGTGCAGGTGAGGTGAAGGAAACGGAGCTTGCTTTCACCATGAAGACTGGTGTTCTTGCTTCATCATTCATCTCGTTTCTCCCATAGATTCAAAACCATCCTTGAATATTCCAGATCGCACACTGCAGAACTTCCTGCAGGGGCAAAGGTAGTGTGGAATTTTTATGGTGGATTGTTCTAAATCATCTTTGGGTAAGTAGCAGATGTCTTCTAGTGGTATCACAGAGTTACTTTGCTGCCATCCTGAAACACCTGTGGTTCCCTTTCCCTCTCTTGGGCCCTCTGGGCATCAGGCTAGTCGGTAACCTTTCTCAGCCTAATTTCCACTGTTACTCAAGATGTGGCCAGACTTGGACGTGGCTTTCCCTAAGGAGGCTTCCCAGGCTGGTTACTTTTGAGTGACTTGCTTCTCTTTCCTGCATGCCTGTGTTTCCTTGTCTGACTCTAGTCCTCAGGGCTCACAGACCAATGCTAAGGCTCATTCTGACTCTCCTGGTAGCTCCGGGGCCTGAACTCAAGCTATGGGCTGAGCAGTACGCAGTGATTTGCTTGGTGAACACACCTGTTTGTTATCCTAGCACTGTCATTTCTTGACATAGACATTTTACATATTTTCCCCTCTCCTGTATAAAGTAAAATGTGGGCATATGGCCAGAAAAACTTGAGCTCCAAACCTGGCCCTACTACCTGCTAGTTAGATGATCTTGGACAAGTTATTTAACCCCTTTGAGCTTCAGTTTCCTCATCTATAAAGTGGGGATACGGATTTCTACCTTGTAAAATGGCCATCAGGATAGTGCTTAGAGAGCATACAGCCCAGTTCGGGGCATGTAATAGGCACTAAATATTCAGTGACTAATTATTGGTCACTTAAACAATTGGTTTTGTGTCTGAGATTTGGTGAATTTTTTTTTTCTGATCTCTTAGAAATCTAATAGCTTTCTTCATATCTTTTCTCAGCTCAAACTATTAACTGTTTCTCTGTTTTTCCATCTCTCTGGCTGTCAGTCCTTGTGTGGATATGCACATGTGTGTAAATATCATATAAATATAAATGCACATGCATACACACACATTTGGCTTGACTTGTTTGTAAGAAGATATGCCTTTTTTCACTAGTCTGTGGATGTCTTGGAAGCCAAGGCTCCATCTCATTCGTTTCAAAAGCTCTGGCACTTAGTGCAGGGCCCGCTCAGAGTAAAGGTCAGCAATATTTGCTATATAAGTAAATAAAGAAGCATCTCTTCATGTGCCAGTGACAGAGGTGTGAGAGGTGCTGGTCTCTGGAGGAAGAGCTTATGTGGCGTGATCTAGATTGTAAGGA